CAGCCCTGGCACTGGTGCTGTGCCACCCCTGCCACGGGCACTCTGCCTGCACTGCTCTGGTGCGAGGCTCTGCTGTGGCTCCCCTCCAGCTCTGCCCACCTCAAGGTGCAGCGGGGCTGAAATGGGGTGCAGGGGGGCACAGGGCTATGGGGATGGGAACACAGCAGAGGGTGGCAAATATCACACGTTGCTTCAGTCCCACTGTGCCTCAGTTTCCCCAGCTGCTATTGGGGGTCTTGTGAATGTTCCGTGTTGCCCCACCATCCCCCTCCCCATGGCTGCCTTTGTCCCCAGTCCCCCCAGCTGGCTGCAAACCCCCTGTTTGGGGGCAGCTGCCACAGCACAGGGCCAGGAACGCCACCGGTGCAGCTGGGGCTGTGCCCACCCACAGAGTCCAGGGGGGCTTTAGGGCACGATGCCAAATGGTGCCAGAACCCCCAGGGGAAGGGACTGGGCCTGGCCCCAGTTGAGAGGTACCCAGGTGGGAGATACTGGCACAGACAGCCCCCTCAGCATGGGGAGTGCAGGCAGCAGGGAGGCAGAGGGCTGAATAAAATAAAACAAAACACCTTCTATTGTTTTCACAGGATGGGAACACCCCGTGCCCCGGCTGGGAACAAAGCCCTGGAGATGCTGCGCCCTGGCAGAGTCCATCAGGGAACTGTGTCCTGGTCCCAGCGCTGCTTCCCAGCCAGCCAGCCTCGCTGGTTCTGGGAGTTCATGCTGGCAAGAGCAGCGGTCTTGGAGCGTCCACCCCACTCATGCTGGGCACGGCGGGCTGCAGTAGTCAGCAGATTTGAAAAGGCCATAGACGTTGACAAGGGGGAACATGAGCAGTGCCCCCAGGAGGGAGCCCAGCTGCTCCAGCACCCCGTACCACACCAGCGCGCTGCGGCTGCGGCTCCGCAGCATCACCCCGGCCATCACCTTCATGTAGGAGAGCGTCCCGGTGAACAGCACCCAGGAGAGGACCTGGTGGCACAGGTGGAAAAGTGGTCAGGGCCAGGGGTTTCCCACTGTGGGGACATCGTGGTGACATCAGGTCCAGGTGTGGTGTCAAAGACCTCCCTGAGCGAGAGGGACACTGTGACTTACGATGATGACATCGCCCAACTGGGACTGCTGGAGGAGCGGGCAGGGACTCATCACTGCAATGGCCATGTTGTAGGCACCAAAGCCTGTCCCTGCCATAGTGAGGAGGACCATCAGGGTCAGGGACCTGCAAGGGACATGTGAGTGTCACTGGAGAGCACTACCTTTCCCTGGTGAGCAACACAGACACGCAGCACATTCTGGCTCCTTGTATCTCAGTTAAAGATACAGATGCAGCTATTAGCTTTACACTGCTCCTACTTATCCTCCACACAGAAATGTTCCAGCTCTGTTTCTTGAAATCTGGTATAAAAGATAAACACTCAGAAGATGCATGAAAGAAAAGAGGCTCCATCTTCCTTTCCTGGGGTGTCTATGCTGCCAGGGCATGGTCACCCCACACACCCCTCTCCCAGCCTACACTCCCAACCCTTGCAAAGTAGGGGCCCCTCTTGGGGCAGAAGCCCCTGGTGTGCACCCTGCTGCAACCCCCAGGGCCCTGCAACTCACCTGCTGGGCAGGAACATGGCCACGATGCAGGCCAGGGGGTTGGCCATGGAGCTGAGCGTGGCTGCCAGGTGGTAGGTGGTGTGCCCATAGGGCAGGCAGGAGTAGGACTGCACAGATGGCAGGACCCCGTTTGTCAGGGCGCTCACCCAGGCGATGAGGAGGTAGATGAGGGTGAGCTGGGTTAGGGAGTAGGAGACCTTCTGTGGCAGGATGTCCCCAGGTCCCTTGGGATCCTTTGGGCATGAGCAGCCTCTGCCGAGGTGCGAGTCAGCTGCCTCATCAAGGATCTGGTCAAATGAGCTCAGCACAATGTTGCTGGGAAAGAGGTGCTGCTGGGAGAGCTCCCACACCTTGGGCTGCCGGGTGAGGAAGAAGAAGGCCAGCAAGCAGGTCAGCATCATCGCAGTCAAGAGCAGGAAAAAGATGAGGGTGGAGAAGTTGGGTGGGAGGTAGTGTGTCTCCAGATGGAAGGTGGTGGTCTCCATGGTCTCGTTGCCAGTAGTGACATTGACTTCGTAGCTGACATTGGTGCAGGTGGAGATACCAGAGCCCTGGCCCAGGGCAATGAGAGAAGGGATCAGCCCACTTAGCCCTTCACCTATGAAGAAGGTGTTTGTGTACTGGGGCTGCAGCTGCATCATGAAGGGCAGGAAGGTGACAGAGGAGGTGCAGTCCACCAGGGCCAGGAAGAAGGTAAGGATTAGGAAGGAGACGCTGTGGGATGTCCCAGCAATGACAGACGTGTGGTTCCAGAGGAAAGCCAGGAGCAAGCAGGCCACAACACCCACGGACACGATCACATAGATGACAGGCACCTCCTTCAGCAAGCCAGGCCGAAAGCGATTCATGAGGGTGACAAAGAGAGGTCCCACATTGGCCATCTGGATGATGATGGTGATGTAGGAGGGGAGGTACCACTGCTCCGGCAGCACCGTCACCAGCAGTGGCACCTCCACCCACAGCCCGTTGATGGCCACCCAGGAGCCCATGCCGAAGGCACAGGCCAGAAGGTGGGTGAGCAGTGCCATGGCTCAGGGCTGGGTGCCTGGGCCTGGGAGCGACGCTGCTGTGCTGTGGGGAGAGACTTTGATGAGTGCTGAGGAGAGATCTGACCCTTCAGACCCTGGCCCTGTCCTCCCATGACCGCCGCCTGTGTTGGCAGAACAGCTTCCCTCTACGTGCCGTAGGGGTGTGGGGCACACAGCCCAGCCCAGCCCCCTTTGCCCTCTGCAGGCCCTGTGGACCCCTCTGCCCCCTTGAAGTGATGACAAGGTGTCCTCCTGCCCTGGGTGTGGATCCTGATGAGCTTCACCTGGTCTCATCCCCGAGGACTGGGGCTTGGCAGCAGCAGGTGCGGTACACAGGAGGGCATTGAACCTGTGCCAGCTCACGTAGCAGCTCCGTGCCGCCTGCGAGGGCTCGGCACAACCGGGTGCAGGGGGAAGGGGGCTCTCACCTGAGGGCTGAGTGGCCTGGGCAGCTGCTCTGCAGGGAATGGACGCCTCGTACCTCCCACTGCATCTGCAGGGCAGGACGACACCGCGCCCGTCCCCTTCTAGTCAGGACCCGCGAGATTCCCACACGCTCCGGTGGCCGCGGGCGCCAGGCCCAGCAGCCCAACCTGCAGCCCAGGCTCTGCTCGTACCGATCAGCTGAGTCAGCCGGGCTCCGGACTCATCCCTCGCCCGCTCCCATCCCGCTCCTGGGAGGAACTCTCACGTTCCGAACATGTCCCTACGCTTCCGTGCCCCCCCGGTGCCGCGGAGCCGAGTCCAGCCCTGCCCCGGGGCGCTGAGGCCGCCAGAGGAAACTCACGGGGCTGAGCCTGGCGGGAGCACCGACCCCGCCAGGGCCCCGGCCCCGCGGGAGGCAGCGGGGCTGCGGCAGGAGCCAGGAAGGAAACGGGCTCCGGTCGGGCCGGTCCCTCGGCAATGTCCCAAGGGAAACTCACTGCGCTCTGGGGAACCGGCAGCACCACGCGGGCGGCAGCCAGTCCCGGCTGCCCGAGCAGTGACGTGAGGCGGGCGCGTCACCACCTCCGGATGCGGACCGGTGACAGCCTGGCCCTGCTCTGCTCCTCGTCTTGGTCCCGGCTGGCAGAGTCCCCAGCTCAGGGGGGTTATTATTCTTGGCGGTGTCCTGGACTTTGTCCTTGTCCCTGCCTGAACTGCGTCCCACCTATCAGAGACTCTTCTTGCAGGTGCAAGTGTCAGCCGATGACGGTTCCTGTCCCCATCAGGATCTCTGCGGGGTCACGAGCTTGGCATGGGGCGCTGGGGAACCTCCGAATGTGGGAGTTGTCCCACCTCGGAACACTGCGGGGACACAGCCGCGAGCCAGCGGATGAGCCATTTGCACCGGCCGGGAGGTGACACGGTGAGGACACGGACCCCAGGTCACCCCCAGCAGCCAGCCCCCCTCTCCCAGCCCGGACCCACCGCCCCGGGATGCCTCATGGCGGCTCTTCCCCCAGCACCCACCGGGTGTCGCTGGGAGAGCGGGCTGCAGCCCTGCAAAACGCGGGGCTGCCTTCTCCCGCCTTCTCCCGCCTGCTTCCCCGCCTGCCGCCCTGCCCTACCTGTCTGCAGCGCTCTTACTGTCCCTGTCCCTCCGAGGGACTGCGGTTTGCTCCTCCAGCCTGCCCTGCGCCTGTGGGAGCACCCATGGCAGCCAGGAGCGTTGGGTGTAGTGTGGGGACAAGTCTTGTCCCCGGGGCTGCAGGGACACTGGGTGACAGTGGGGGGGATGGTCACAGTTTGAGGTGCTGCTGCGATTTAATCCCAGCAGGCGGCTCAGACCCCCTCAGCTGCTCACTCACACACACCCCCCCGGGTGGGATGGCGTACAAAATGGGGAAAGATAAAATGGTAAAAGGGACTAAACTCACGGAGCAGCTTCATAGGAAAAGCAAGGATGTCCTATAGTCTGGGGTATCCCGGAGCAGGGGGGGAAGGGGGAGTGGCAGAGCTGTCCCATCCACGTCCCCTCGCAATTTCTATGTCCCCCCAGCGCTCTTACTCACTGGTGGGGCAGCAGCAGGAGCAGAGAAGTCCTTGGGGCTCTGTGTGCACGGCTCAGCCAAGATCAGACACTCCTGGGTCATCAGCACTTCTTTCAGCACAGCTCCAAAACAGTCCCGCCCTGGCTCCTACGGACAAAATGACCTCTACCCCAGTCAAACCAGTACAGGACTCCAGAGAACCTGGAAGGTGGGGAACAGTGCAAGGTGCTGGGGAAAGCAGACGCAGGGAGCTTGGGGTGGGCAGCTGAGGTCATGGTGTGTCCATGGGTATGGGGACACGGAGGGGACGGCAATTGTCCTGTGTTTAATTTGTCGGCACAAAGAGGCGGCTCAGCCGGCAGTGAGAGCCTTCCCAAGGGCCAAGGGCTAAGGGGGAAGAGGCTGTGGAACCCTCGTGTTACCCCTTCACGCCGCTCACCCAAATGCAGCGGACGCGTGCTGCCCGCCC